GGCGCGGCGCGGGCGCCGGGGCTCCCTTCCTCCCTCCGCCGGGCAGGGCCGGGGGGTTCCGGCCTCCCCTTCCCCGCCGCGCCGCGGGCTCGCTGCGGGGCGGGGCGGGACAGGGCTGCGGTGGCCGCGCGTGTGTTCGTGTTAACGCGTGTGCTCCGCGGGGCGGGGGCGGGGAACGGGGGCCTCGCGCGACCGTTGGGGTCGGGGAGGGGCGGGGCCGAGCGGGTGCTCGCGCCGGCCGTTGGGGTMCGGACGGGAGAAGGTGTTTGTCTTGCGGCGACCGCTGAGGTGTGGGCGGGGCGGCTGCTCGCGCCGACCGTTGGGGTTCGGGGGAGGGGGGAAGGTGCCTCGCGGCGACCGTTGAGGTGTGGGCGGGGCGCTGCCTCGCGGCGACCGTTGGGGTCTGTGAGGGGCGGGGCGCTGCCTCGCGGCGACCGTTGGGGGTCTGTGAAGGGCGGGGCCTCGCGGCGACCGTTGGGGGTCTGTGAAGGGCGGGGCGGTGCCTCGAGGCGGCCGTTGGGGTCGGAACGTTGGTGCGTTGTGGCCGCCTCAGCGTCGCCTCCCTCGGCCGCAGGTAGCGGGAGCGTGGAGGGATGAAACGCAGGCTCATGAGGGACCATAAAGGTGACTTCCCCATCTTTTTATTATTATTTTTAAAATTTATGCTTTCACTAATGTTTTCTTTTTACACTGTTGAAGTGAGTGAGTTGATTATGTTTTATGCAGCTCTACTGCATAAAGGTGTAAATGATTTTTGGAAGATGATCTTACTAGGCTGTTTTCCAGAAAGTGTAAGTAGCCTGACCTCATGCTGCTGTGTCTGTTTTTGAATTGCTCCTTGGCAGTGAGGTGATGACATGCGGTGGGTAACACTCGGATGAGGGAACTTTATTTATTTATGAGTGTTTGTTGTCACGAGGAACTCCTAAGTTTCACAACTTCGGTGGTATAAGTTAGATTTAGATGGGTAGGAAGGACTGGAAGCCTAAATGAAACTTGAACTGTTTTGAAACTGCATAGTTGCAAGCTTCAGATGAAACATTTGTAATGTATATGAGGTTCTTATATAAGTTTGAGTTTCTTTTTGGCAATTATTTCAGCAGTTCTTTATTTGGAAACCTCCAGGCAACGCTTGGATTTGTTTATCTAGATTGTGTTGCATTACTCCTAATTAAGCTCGATTATAACACAGTAGCCTTGCCAAAATTACATCTCATTATCCTTAGCTAGGTGTATGTTTCCATGTGTTTGAATATATTTGCCTGTAATATCACCGTGATATTAATGTGAAGGATTCCGTGCTCTKAGATACTCCTCGTAATCTATTAAGATTTTCCAGCCACCCCCACCCATATCTACACTACACCTTCCCCTGCGGGCAGTGACAATTCAGACCTGTTTCTCCTATGGCAGTTAGCACTCGAGCTTTCTGTCTGCAAACTGAGGAGTTTTCCCTGAGATCCTGCACAACAGTTACCCTACAGTTATTTAACYAGAACCTCTGGCTTACTTTGGGGCAGATTCAAAGAGCTTCCTGAAAACTTTTCATGTGTTCTGTTTTTCTTTTGAAGAGTAAAATACCAGGTCTTTGGGGATTTTTTTTTAAATGTTTCTTCCTCTGTATATTTTGGCACCCCTGCAACTTTCCCACAGGGAGAGTTAAGTTTGTTTCTGCCTCACTTTCCCTCTGTTCTGAATTTTCATTCTGATGACTTCTTCTGAAAATACTTCTTTCCAACTGAGTCATTTTTTGAATACAGAGAGGAAACCTTGAAACCCTGGGGATCAATTTTAGTTGACAGAAAATAAATACTGTATCAACTCTCTATCTAAACAATTGTTCCTGTTAGTGTGCAGAAATAACTGTTGTCTTAGATGGTGTCAGGGAAGATTGCAAGGCAAAGTTTGATCTTTCATTTGATATTTATTTTTGACAGTATAGCTGGTTCAAATGTTGCTTTTGATCATCAAAGGCCTTATTTGCATGGGAACGGTTTTATCTTGTTAAGTGCTACAAGTTCATGCTAGTAAGGGATAGTGGGAACTTAAGATTCTGACTTAATTTCAACTTGAAGTTGCAACTGATAATTGAGCAGGAATAAAGAGACTTTCTGAAGACACTCTTTCCTGAGTACAGAAGTACTCAGTTGCAACCCCTTTTTTCCCTTTTCCCTCCAGGGCTCACAGGCTCCTGAGTGTGTGCACACACGTGCACACCCGGCAGCCCTCATCTCTTCTGTGCTCTTGCCAGTGTAACCAGCTAGTGTTCAGGTCCTGCCCCCTCTTGTGTGTCCTGTGCTCTGACCTTGTTCCCTCTGCTTTACCTTGGCTCCCTGTCAGCTCAGGCGCTCCTGCGTGTGCGCTAGGTCCTGCAAACATTTCAGTTAATGGACTATGATGATGTTATCAACCTAAGTCTGTGTAGAAGAAGAATTGTTAKTTAGAAAACATACTTCTATGTTTTCCTTCTTCCCTAGCTTAGGCTATTTAAGTAGTAYAAGCTGAATTACACAGTTACAGTGAGCATATGATAGAGCTGTTTAGAGTTGCATATAGATTAAAGCTTTATTCCTACAATTCCCCTTTTACGCAGGGACCGAAGGAGGATGGTGATCGTTCTGTGCGCTTCATGTAAACTTTGGGGAAATGTAGTAGCGTCAGGGAAAGGAGCAGGTCATGCTAGAGCTGTTCCTATCGTTCCTCAGAAGCAGCCTGGGGTTTGGGAGCTTCCAGCCATCTCGCTTTTTACAATTTAGTTGCGACTGTAGTTGCTTCCAGTTGCTGAGTGCTGGTGAGGTGAAAAATGTGATTGCAGTGTTGCAGCTGCATGTTATGATAGGAAGTGGAGATGGTTGACTACAAAATAGCAAAAATGCGCCTTTGGTACAAAAGTCAGAGAAAATGTTTTGAGCTTATTCAGGCTTAGCATCCCACATATTGGGAGACAAGCTGAGTACTTCGGATGGAAGACTTTTGTGGTCATACTGTAACATGTAATTGAGTTTACTATGAGAAAGTTTGCCTTGCATCCTGCTTCCATTTGTATGTTGATTATCAACYAGGTGAGGAGTAAAATCTCTCCCTTTGCTGTTAGTCTGATAARCCATAGAATAGATGATGTCTTTCAGGTGGTGATGATGGAGCAAGCTGAGGTTCAAGCATCTCTATTTAAGGGCAATTATAAAGACCTGACACTAAATTAACTTATCTCTGGACAGATTTCTCTTCTTAAACTGATGAATTTTACCAGACTAGCTTTGGTACCATCTGGTACTGGACTGCCTGGTCCTGTAGTTGCTGTGTGTACCTATGCAGAAATGCAGTAAGGTAGCAGGCACATTGGAGGAAGGTCTGCGGTGGTGATGTCGGAACTCTAAAATTCAGCATTTTCTCTATTATGGGAGATAATTCTGACTTTTGCAAATTGGTAAAAGACTTCATGTGCTGTCATTGTCCTACCTGCAGCATCTCAAAGCTGAGTAGCAGGCAGTGTGTGAAGAATGCTTAAACTGGCATACTCAGAGGTTGAACTTGAAAATACATACTGTGTCATCAGGTGGGCTTTGAAGGTGCTGAGGGAGAAGGACCTTTTGCTTCAGCAATTCTTTGTTTTATGTTTGAAGTACTAACGTAAAACTCCTGCTCTGGCAAGATTTCATAACAGAATATGGCAAAATGCCTTAAGTGAAGCCAGTTTTAATGATGAAACGTGTTTTAGAGTCTCTAAAAGTATAATATTGAATGCCAGACTGTCCTTTGCCTTCTATAAAAGTAGACTGTGAGTGAAGGGAATTTTATAATCTGTCATTAATATAATCAGYTTATCATCATAAATTTACTGACTAGTGAAGATTATTTTAGGGGGAAAAATTGTATATATTAATTAAAAATATCAGCTAAGGATTTAAATGTAGTTACAAGAAACACTTGAGCAGAAAACATTTAAAATAATTATCTCTTGTATTGGAATTCTTGCTTGTATATTTATGTGATCACTGAAAAGTTTGAGCTRTGTGTTTTACATTGTACTTGCTATGGGCTAATAATGTGTATGAAGATACTTTCTTATTTGACATGTAGAAACTTGTCAGATTGCAGTAGCTTGATCATGTTTTTGAGTCCTTTTGCACACAGTTTCTTGCACTGGGGTAAAAGTGTGTCGTGTTTAAAGCCAGATTAAACCCTCTTTATGTTGCAACCAATGTTAACTGTGAGCACAGGAAAGTCCTTTCAAGCAAGATGATTTAACGCTAATTGTTTTGGGGGTACGTGTGTTTTAATTTATGCTTGAAAAATGTTAAGTTGTGAGGAGATTCCTAAACTGAGCTCCCGATTTTATTGTTGCTTCTAGTTGCTTACATAGATACTCATATCTTAATTTCAAAAAAAGCTTGTGGAAGGGGATATTTAATTTAGATGCTGTTTACAAAAGCATGTGCTCTTTGCRTGTTTGAGAGAAATAAGAAATGCTTGCTATTACTGTTAGAAATGTGTTTAAGATCTAAGGAATAATGTGGATACGTAATCAAATGCACCCAGATAGCATGTTCAAAAGAAGCAGCTTGTAAGAGAGCGCTCAGKGAGAATGTTCTCTTTTGTTTTTTAAATCTTTTTCCTGCAGTGGCCTGAACACTTACCAACTTGACAATAGGTAAAACRTATAAAGTAAAACTGCTTTTTCTGTATGAGTTAACAGTTGCTTAAGTTTTACTGTAATGTATGCCATTGTGAATGGGAAGCTGAGATAATGAATGGAAGGAAATATTGCCATTAAACTATCTTAAATTGTTGCCTATACAGTGGGAATAAGCCTGTWGTCTACCATGTAGGCTCAGTTAGAACTTGAGATTCATGAACTTGTAGCAAATAGAAAGGTCCTGATATAGGGTACACTTAACAAGTATGTTCCAGTTCTAGAATGGCTGTTGTACCACTTGGGCACTTTGTGAGGTTTAATTTATTAAAGACTGTGGTTGTGCTTACGTAGAAACATGTTGTTGTGTTATGAAATAGTACTTGTTTCAGTAGGGTGATAAACATGGTCTTTTGCTTTCAGAGACTTTTATTTATGTATTTGTTATCAGTGAGGATCCTAATTTGTTTAATTTAAAGAAAATCCCGTAGTCACACACCTTGCTATGAGTCTCTGGTATTATCATGTTAYCTTCTGTGTACTTAACCAGCAGATTCTCTTTCCAGATGGCTCCTTGGAGGACAAAAAATCAATATATTGGTCTAACTGGAACCTGCAATTCATGTGTGCATTTTGTATTGAGGAGAATGGCCATCTACCTGCAGAATTTGGGGCTATTTTGTAATTTTTCAGTATGCTGATCRTGAGACTGAAGGGGAACTAAAGACCTGCAATGCTGTGAGCAATGATGAGAAACATATCATATCAGAGTTGACTGCCATCGTGTTAAACTGAGACTATACCTTCATATTTTTGTGTAGTGGGAGGGATGCATAATTTCCTCTCTGACGTGTGCTAGATTTAAATGATCTATTTGAAATGCCTGTCTTTTTGAACAGATGAGATATTACTAGATATGCTGTTTTGGGGCATCAGCTGAAACCACCCAGGATTAGTGTGAACTTGATGATGATTTCATACCTATAGCTTA